ATATCGCGTCTATGTGAATGTACATGTATAGAATGTATATCTACGTTATATGTACATCAATGCACACACATAGAGAGACGAACTGAGCAAGCCATCAGCATAAAACGTCGAGTTTTATGAGCCATGTAGAGACGTCTTTGCATTACATCTTTGAATGCGTCTTCCCTTCTTGCTCTAGTGCGATACATCGTGCCACTGCGAGCTATTATATCACTGCAGCGTGCAAACCTCGCTAGGAGAAATCAAATGGAGCTCCACGGATTTTTTTCATTATATGCTACGTCTTATATGTTGCATTGTTTTTCTGATTGTTACGGTGATTGATGAAAACTGAAGTATACGTCATGAATACAAAATTGTCTTTTTATTCCGGTAAAAGTACAATACAGATGAAGTTATAGCTTGATCGAAAAATTAGATTTTTATCCCGAAATGACGATTTTGTACTTGTGGCACGGGTTAGACCTTTTCTTAAAAGATTTTATACTAATCTGAGCATAGTTTTCTGATGTTGAGATGTCGCCTGAAGAAAAAAATAAAACTCGAAAAATAAGGCGGTGCGTCTTATAGGGTGCCTATAGTACAGGTGTACATGCACATTGTCCCAATTCAATACATATCCAATCCTCTCTTTAAAAAATCATGAATAGTTTTCCATTGATAGCTTTCCAAAGTTCAGATTGGCTGCGGACATTTTTGCTGCTTTTTTAATGTAATTATTTCTCAATGAGATTCGGTTGTTGGAGTCAATGTTTAATTTTTTCTGGTGTGGTTTCTTTTTTTTATGGCCCTTAACTGTTTTCCCTTTTGGAAGATGAATTTGAGCCCTTAAAAATCATTTTCATAATTGTGAAAATTTTTTTTTTTTTATTTTCATAATTATCCACACTCCCAAAAGAATCATCAAAACACGAAATATAAAATTTGCAGATCAATATTTGAAAGCATCTAAATTTTTTCGTGTGCTGTGCACATTATACGTATAAAATTTGGCATCATAAACAGGAAGATCTCGGCACAGACGTATAGCTCACTCGAACCCGAGACGCTTAATTTCGCCTATAAAAGAGCTACAGCCTACCTTTTCTCCGCCCTTTTTGTGCTCTCTTCCTTCTTGCAGCAAAAACGACGTGTACATGTCGTGCACTACCATATAGCAACTGCTATCTGCGATGGCTGCAAGCTCATTCGCACACAAGCGAGAAAATTTACGAGTTTGAGAAACGGCCTGCTCATATCTTCAGCTTGAGAATTTTTCCCGCCTAAAATGTATATCACATAGGACGCGCGTGATGCCCTATAAAGGCTGTGTAGGATTTCCACTGTGCGCTTTATTTTGTCGTCGCGATGGCGATGCACAGAGCACCCTAAACAAGACGTACGTGGTGTCGATCTTATCAATATACATATCAATTTGTCAAAGTATAAGTAATCGTCAAATAAATTGGAATTTTTTTTTTCCAATTTAAATTTGATTTGTTTTCCTCGTCTTAACAACACACGGAAAAATTCACTAGGAAAGATTTACATAAAAAGCAAACCTTTTACCTACTCTAAATGAAGGGGAAATACGCTGAAATGTATAACTTGCAATGGATATGAAAAAAAAAAGACTGAGAAGTCGCATGAAAATTGTAAATCGAAATATTGAGTGCAAATGTTGAAGTTGGAAGTGCGTATACATATAATAGAAATAGATATATACAGATGGAAGGGTATTTGCCGTCAGAGTAGCTGAATAGGATATAGAAGGTCGCTCAATGTTGAGCAAATGAAAAAGAACCGAGGCATATCAGAAATAACGAAGGAAATAAAACAAAATGCAAAATGAAAATAGGAAGCAAACTTACTGAAAGAGAATCAGTGGCGTAGGTCGGCAGAGCTCGAGTCGGAGATGGGAGTCAGTGCTCGTGCAGTTGGTATAGGTATATAGTCCAACGCGAGGCAAAGTCTCAGTTGGGAATTTCATTCGAATATCGCTCTCCGGATGCATGAGTCTAGTAAATTGGAAGCGAGCTGTACACTGCACGAGAGCTTCAAGCTCGCTACAGAACGGCCCCTGGTGGGCTCTGCCGGTGCTTTCTCTCTCTTCTCGCGTGCGCGCGCGACAGAGAGGGAGCGAGATTTCGCCATCACCTCCATCGGGAATACCGAGCGCGTAGACGGCGGCTATTACCAGGCCGATCTGCCGTGTACATACATGTATATACAGACAGAGCATAGACATATATTTATGCACACGCTCGCGCGTGTCTATATTTACGAGAGGGATCATTTGTCCAAAAGCTGGCACCAGTGTAGTCAAAAGCTCGCTTGCGTCAAGCTGCCTTTCTTCCAGTGCCCAACGAAAAAGGATCCTGGCAGGACCAGAGGCTTGCTGCCACCGCTGCGAGTCGAATCTTAAGTAGTCGTCCACTACCCGTTCAGCGAATCGCGTAGAGAGCCAATGAGCGGATCCCTCGGCGACGCCAGCTGCTAGTCCGAATCTCGTATACCTACCTACCTCCGCCTACAATTCCACCGCTTGCTCTGTACTATTATATTCCAATACGAATGAATACTTGTTGGCATAGCTGCTGTATAGGGATGCGTAATATATGGGGTCGCGTCGTCAACTGCAGTTAGAGATGAAGCTCATTTGCAATCAGTTCGTTCCCGTTGTCGAGAGAACAAATTGATATCGTTCAAGTCCCCATCGATTAGCTTGATTGTGCCCTGCCACTCAGTGATCGATCGTTGTTTCTTCCATTAACGCGTTCAATTTATTTTTTACTTTTCTTTTAAATGAAATTGGATTCGAAAATTATGATCTAGTTGATTTATATGTTTCTGAGCATCTTTGCACATTCAAATTGGCTCGAACGAGATACAATTTTCTTTGAAGTACCTTATTATGTATAATTATTATATTTTATTTAACTTGGGCTTCCGAGTCGGGTGCGTGAGGCGTTCAAGTGGTTGTTTGGTGAGATTTTGCGGGTGATGTGTCAAGCGAGGAGCTCTGCTTTACTCGGACATGTGTGGCGTGTGCGCCGGCAGGGTGTTGGTCACGTTGCTGTACGCCGATAATGTCCTCTGACGAAGTGCGCTGGGTTAACCGGGGGGTCGGTGATTCATAAAAAAACAGGCCAACGTAGGCCCAGGTGAGTGAGGTGAGAGGGGTGATAAAATGATAAACGATTTCCAAAAAATGCAAGCACTCTTTATTTTATAAGTTACATCTACCTACACAAATGTAAAAAATGAAAAAATGTTACTAAATATTACTTAAGATACAGTCATAAAACAAAATGTCTCATTTTTAAACATTTTTTTAATGGTCTGCTCAGAGAATATACGTTGAATTTTGTTGAAGATAAAGTAAAAAAACTGTTTATTTGACTTTGTAAGCGAATCACAACTAAATGAAGTTTTTAAAACACTTTATATGCATTACTTATGTTTAAAGATTATCAAAATATTTTTTTATACGCGTTTAAAACTGGTCAATCCTGTATCCATATTTATGGAACGATTTGTTACTTCGGCTCAGTGTTTCATAATATTTATATATATTTATAATAATTTTATAAACATTTCCAAAATCATTCAGAAAATTCTGAAAAAATTTACGAGTGTTATTTGATAAATTATAAGCACTTTTTGTTCCATAAAATTTTTTCGTAGAGTCCATTGTTAGCGAGTAAAAAATCTCAAAGCATTATCGTCTATCAAGACGACATGGCACATGTTATAGAGCTTTATAAAAATACCAAAGCTCTTTTTTACATTTTCGGCTACAATCAGCTGTTTTGATGGCTGCCATCTTGAATCTGGATGAACCAACGCCGCTAAGTTTTAGTATAGGCTTGTATGCCACCAGATTCAGATTTTTCAGATTTTAATCGGAATTCAGATTTTAATCAGATCCGAATGCGTGCGTAATCGTGGTGAAAAATACGACCATTTTGAAGACAAATGTTCAAAAACGACGATTTTTGTTTGTTTAAACAAATATATATTGAAAACGGTTGCATAAATCGAAAATCTGACACCAGATTTGAAAAGAGCGATAAAAATCCCATCGTGTATGGTATTTTTACATTAACTTGACAATGGTTTCATAGAAAAATAACGCGTTGAAAAATAAGTCAAAATTAGGGTTTCTTAGTATTGGACGGGTTAAGACACGCTTTGTCGTGACTTAAGCTGCTCATTATTGCACCACGACGCTATTATGAGCACCTTATATCTCGCCAAAGGGGGCCTAAACGTGAATTTAGCACAGTGCTATAAAAAAGTTTACGATACTTATGACTCAAGTAGCCCATTCTTACCGTGGCACTAGCTAACCGTACCGTGCAATAATGGCCTGCTTAAGTCATACGTATCATAACATACTATAATAGAATTCAATTGTCGTTTCTTCTTGTTACAGGTATATGATTGTACATACCTACGTGCAAATAGTTAATGTCAGAATTGTTTCAATAAAATGTGTACTTCTTGTTACAGCAATTACTCAATTATTTATTAAATTTATTCAAAAAATCTCGCTAGAACTGTTTAATGCGCCATCTCTATTTGAACTGCTAAACAAGACAGAACTGATAAGTTTCTATATGTTATTATACTGCGCAATAATCTCTAGTCAGAGTCTATCTTGTTCTCGTGATCATAAATGAACAAACATAACAATTTATACGCATGCATAGTTTTTACGAGTTATAATCTTATACAACTCACTTTTTTATTATGGAGTCTACATATAATTAAGCAGATGAATATTTTTTTCAAGTGTATTTCTTTGCATTTTTTTACAATTGTAAACAATAAATAATTTGAAGTGTTTGTATTTCCTCGACGAAATCATCGAGACAGACTCGTATGTTTGAGTGCTCGTGCACCAATAAATAATAATTTTCTATCCTTATCTTATCTATCTGTTGTCATAAATAGAATTCATTTACAGAGAAAAATTTTAGTGTGTTTGAAACTCTTGGGTTGACAGAATCTGAAAAATTAATTTCAACATGAGTAAAAGTGAAGAAAAAACCGTCTTAATTTTTGAAGATGTGCAGAAAGCTGTGCGTAATGCAATTGGATTAGATGCTCACTTAGTCGATTATAATTTTAAATCTTTATCTGGCGATAAAGTTGGATTCGCTGGCTCACATCAATTTTTAAATGTAGAAGTGATAAAAAATGGTAAAAAATTAGCTCTTTGTTTTTTTATGAAAACTTTTCCGTACGATGTACCAGTACAAGTGGCCATGATAAAAAATTGTAAATTGTTTTTTAAGGAGTCAAAATTTTATGAATCGATTTTACCAAAATTGATGACAAGTGTCAAAAACAAATATTGGAGTGCTCTGTGTTATCTGTCTAAAGAAAATGTTATAATTCTTGATAATATGAAGGACAAACATTTCGAATTAAAAGGAATGAGTTTGTGCGAAACATACATGAAATCAGCTTTAAAAACGTTGGCTTTAATGCATGCTTCGGCTATGATCGCTGAAAAAAAATTGGGCCAATCTTTTCTCGAGGTTTACCCGGAAATTTTTCAAGAAGCTGTTTGGACAAAACAAACAAAATTTTATGATTGGTACAGATATGGAGTCGATGCAGCTGTGTCAGTAGCAAAGAAATTTGGATTGGATTACACTTGCATACCCAAAGTTTGCAGTGCGGTGTTCCAAAAGGCAGCTCCGTCGAAAAAATGGACGAACGTCGTTTGTCACGGTGATACTTGGGCCTATAATTGCATGTTCGATGATGCAAGTCCTCAACCACGGTGCGCACTTGTAGATTTTCAAATGGTTCGTTACGCGCCTCCAACCTCAGATGTGGCTACTTTGCTATTTTTAGCAACCAGGAAAGATGAAAGGAAAAAAATTGAAAAAGATTTATTACGTCACTACCATGAAGAGTTGTGCAGTGCTTTGTTAGAAAATGATCGAACGATGAAGCTACCGACCTTTGCGTATATAATGGAAGAATACGAAGATATGAAAACCATTGGTATGGTTCACGCAGTGGTCGATAGGCCAATTACTCAAATCCTTGATATTGATAATAACTCCGATGATGTTGATAGTTCCGATGGCTGCATGAACATTATCTTTGGTAGACGAGATAAGTTGGTGATGAAACTCATGGATAAGCATCCACATTACAAGGATATGGTCCTTGAGCTTATTGGAGAAATCATCGAGAATGCATAAACTACTTTTAACATAACTAATTTTAAAATTCCACATATAATGTTTATGATTAAATTGTGATAATTGAAACAGCAAAGAGTATTGAATATTTTACATAGATTTTTATAAATATAATCTTGAAAACTTCATTTATTGCAAGTGTATAGATGCTGGAAAATTTTAAAATATTCGAAATATTTGAATTGAAATACCTCCAGCAAAATTTCAAATTCATTCCAACCTTTGCTTTAAAATTTTTTTAAATATTAATTGATAACATAAGAATTTTCAACTGGTATGGAATATATAATAGCAATTAATTATTTGAAATTAGTTAATTACAAGTAAATTCAGAACTTATGTGAGAGTTTTTGATCAATCGGTGTAGTATGAACAAATTTTACAATGATAAAAAATAAATTTTTACTATTTCCAATTATATGGCTATTTTTGAATTTTAGCTCGAAGCACCAGGTGGTCCCTTTAAAACTTTTCTAAATATTTAAACCAGAGAAAATTTCAAAAAAAAAAAAAAAATAAAACACTAGTCTCGATCTGATCGAAATTGACGGAGATGGAAGCATATAAAAAATTTCATTGGAAACAAAAAAATGCACGATAATATTTAGTTTTGTAATTCAATGTAAAAGAACTGAAATGTACAATCTACGTTGATTTTTTTTCGCGCTCTCGGTGGAAGGTGAGCTCCTTATTGGTGCGTATGTATAATCTTCTCTTGCAGAGCTTTTTAAAGTGAATCTCACTCGCTACTATATAACGAGCAAAAAGCACGTGGATCTAATGCACTACTGCTGCTATTGCGCGTGTTAACTCTTTAATTTAAAGATAACAAAAAATCCAAGAGTCAGAATGAAAAAGAGGTAGAGAACCTTTTCCGCCCTTCTTCAATCTTATTTTGCTTCGTTTTCAGCGTACTCAAGTTCGTATATAGCTTTCATATATTTTTCCGTCTTTTACTTTTGAAATTAATTTACAAGTATATGAGTAGTTCCTCTATACTTTTAAAATAAGAGCTTTAAAAAAACTGACACAACGATTTGGGTACACCCTGTTAGAAATGAATTTTTCTTATTATTTGTGAAAAATATTAATTTAAAATAGGCCCGTTACTCATTTTCATGCGTAGTCTTTTTTGGAATTTCAATTTTTTAATTTTTCACGCGTAAAAAAAGTACATTTTTCATTGAAATTTAGGATGCGAATGAAATATTTATTTCACTTTTTATTCACTTTTTACTGCGTGACGACCTAAGACATTTTATTTACACAAAAGTCGTTTTAATTCGTTCTTACGCTGTAAAAATCGGTTCACGATGTTAACGAAGTTCGGAAAACCACGCAAAAAGGTGTCAACATACCATAGTTTGAAAATATACACTTTGGACAGCGGACGAGTTGCGCACGCGCATGCTAATATTAGGTCTCAAAATCGAACATTTTCCATGGACATTATTTAAACTGCTATAATGACCGCGAAATAATTTTTATCACTGCTAGACATGGAAATATCAAAAGTACTTATATTTAAGTGTAAATATCCATACTTATAATGACAAGCCGATGCAAAAATTCAGTTTTATGGTACAATGTTTGATTGTTTCTTAAAATTGGACGCATGACGACAAAGACATTTTCGACTGTTTTTAAGTTGCATAATAATATGATTTTTATATGTCCAATAATATATGTAAAAGTTAGAAATAATTGATATCTAACTATTCTGCATATTCCAGTAGCGTCGATTCACGATTTTCAACTGCGTACGGGCCGGGACATCAAAAACAAGCTTTCCGTGACAATCAACCAGCTATTTAAACAAAAAAAAACGTAAAAGTTCTTGCGAAAAATCAATTTCTCAATTTTCTTAGCCATGTTACCGCTAAGGAATCACGATATAAACATGATCAAAGGTGATCACGACCATTAAAGTATCTCAGGGAATTTTTATGGAATTTTCGAACCCCTCCTTCAAACAAAAAATAGCTGATTTTCCCTCGAAAACTATTGAGCTTAAAGAAAAAGTGCACTAAACAAAAATTTGAAAAGTGGTTCGAAAATTCCATAAAAATTCCCTGAGATACTTTGATGGTCGTGATCACCTCTGATTATGTTTACATCGTGATTCCTTAGCGGAAACATGGCTAAAAACAATCGTGGTAGAACGTGTTTAAGCATAGGAAATTCCGGCATAGAATTGATCTTAATCCAGTGTACATGTATAAAGTGGGCTATTTAATAAGCTGAATTTTTGAATTCCTCGAGGAAATCTTCGGCTTCATCGAATTTACTTCTGTAGGAATTGGACTTTCTGTATTGACATTTTTATCGAAAATTTTACTTAAATTATGAAAATCTCAAAAGTAATATAATGCTGGATTAAAGCGAATAATGCATCAGTGGGTGCAATTTAAGTGTGTACCTATAATTATAAGTTTGAAAAAACGTTTTGGTGCAGCATTTATATATGTAATTCTTAAAATAAAATTAACGCCCTTAGCTTGTTTGAAATGATCGGTCAAATTCTTCGACAATACCTATGAAAGCTGAAACGTTGAGTAAAATTAATATCACATTATTAGCAGCTCAAGGGTGGGCAAATAATGAACAAAAAGAAACGATGAGAATCAATTAAAAAAAAAAGACCAGTGATGTTTTACAAGGTGAAAAAAACACTATGGACCTAGAGGCTATCCTTGTTTCCGCAGTCCTCGGGATATTATATTTAACGAAGCAATTCGCTCATCGCCCGCAGAGAGCCATTAGAAAGTTGGTGAAAGCACATCTATTTCTATAGTTCCTGTGAATCTGACGGCCATTATGCAGAACAACACCTTTAGCAGTGGAAAAGGTTGCAGTCAAATTGCACTGTTTTAATACGACCAGGTCAGTGTAGTACGCAGGTGAGCAGCGAGCAAGTGAACGAGATCGTTAATTCGAAAACTCTTGTGCTTTTGCAACTGTTACAATATGCGTGTGTGACATCTTGCTGGAAAGTCGCATACACGCGCGTGAAAGACTAACGAAAACCACTGTTCCAAATTCAGATTTAGCCTCGAGACTTGTATCTTTTGTCTATATATTTATGGCCGATTCTCTGTGAAGTCGAATGGCCAAAAAAATTTTTTTCTGCAAATATGAAAAACTTGTTATATTTAATGTCAGATATGTCCCAAAAAAATTTTAGAAAAATTGGGACCTTCTATGACACTTTTTCAGAGGCCCAAAGTTGGCCATTTTAGCGTTTTTTCGAAATTCATGAAAAATCACAAATATTCAAATAATTCCTACATTAAAGTAGAATGATTCAAAAGTAAAAGTGCCCAGCAACTTTTTTGTTGGAAATTGTCCAAATTTTCAGAAAAAAAGTATGCCAAAGTGATTGGAGCCACCTGAAGACGTATAGAGTGGAAAAGACTTGAAAAAAAAAAACAAAAAACAAGAAATCTAATCGAGTTCGAACCTGACTTTCATTTCCTAAACTATGTAAAAAGCTTCCCAAAGATGTCAACTACTGCTTGATGAAGTTTTGTAATGGGTCTTAAAGTTTAACGCAATGTAGATAACAATGTATGGCGAAAAGTTGACTTTAGAATGGGTATCAAATGGAAGTAGACATCCGTATCAATTCTCTTGCTTACGAACGATCTTGGCCTTGAAAATTTTTTTTGTGTAATATAAACTGGTTTTTGTTTAGGTAATATAAATTAGTAATATAAATTGGATAATTCAAATTGCTTTTACACGTGCGGATGGGCATTGAAAAAGTAATATTTTTTAGATTTCATATTATAAAAAAAAAAAATAAATAAATAAATAAAACAATATATAAAATTATTTTATATCTTATATTGTAAAAGAATCTCTTTAAAGGCCTGAATTTATAGATCAATGCAGAATTTAATTTGTTTTGTTTAACTTAACTTAATTCATAGATTTCTTACAAATCGCTTAGTCGTAATTCACGCGTAAGTGTGACGGTGCAAAGACCATTGTACGTGCAAACGTCGAATGTCGAGCTTTTGAATATACATACGTGCTAGCGCGCGCACGAGCTGCTCGAGTTCTGTAGTGGAAAGAGTAAAGGCTTTGAAGTTCGATATTATCTTGGCAAAGCTCCACCAGCAATCCAATAACTCAGCGGAGACTACCACTGTATATGTATTTTTCCCATTACCCAACGTGCTCACCGGCTTTAATGCGCAAGAAACTTAGCTTTCCTTCACCTTTCTTACTTGATATAAGTATATTTAGAAGTATGTATGATTTGGGCGGGTTCAATTATGCTCAAGTCTCCTTGGACCGACAGGCAACTAGTACTAAAAGATACAATCAAAACCCGCTGTCAATTCCTTTGTTGTTTTTTTTACATTGATTCTTAATATAAATTAACTAAAGTTTTATTATTGATGAATTAATTATAAATCTTCAGTTGAAGATAATAAAAAGAGGGTTGCAGAGAGTACATTGCATACATCAATATCTAACTCTATGAGAAAACAAAAGTACAACTTTTCATTTTGAGTCTGTATAATTTTCATAATATTCGACAAAATTCGTCGAATATTATGAATAATAAAATTATGAAATTCAAAATAATGCTCTGTCCTTCTACACTGATGGCAGCAAAATAGCTTACACAAACTGCTTTGGAAGCGCAGTATTTCGAGAAGTGGAAATTCACGAAACGCTCTCTATCGAAAAAGAAGCTTCTGTTTACACAGCCGAATGCATATGGCGATACATAAAGCTTAGCCTCAAATTACCCAGAACAAAACATCTATATTTTTTCAGTCTGTCTTAGCACACTTCAAACCTAACCATACACCAAAATCAGTCTTAAAACAAACTCTTACATACTAAAAATCAAAAAAATGTATTCTGCATTTAACAAAAAATCAAGCGGTCAAACTATTCTGGGTACCATCTTACATAAGTATAGAAGGAAACGAGCAAGGAAACGATCCACAATACTCCGTACACAGACTTACTTGAATCTTTAAAAAAAATGCATATGAACAAAATGAAATAAAAATGACAGAACAAGGCTTATTCAACGGAACTATACACTTTGAAAATTACTACCGTAAGAAAGAAAACCATAGTAAGTTACTTAAGATAATCATCTTAATTAAGTTGCCTTGGCCGCTGCACGGTCGTGGCGCTGATTGCCACTGCCACTGCCAAACAATCTTCTCGACCGCATCCACTCCGCTTCTCGCCCTTGGTATGCAGGGTGATTCAGAAGGAATGTAGTCCCTCCGAGGATCAGATAGAGGAGGTCAATCGACAGAAAAACTCTTATGACAAAAGTCTCAAAAATGTATGGTTGTAAAGTTATCATTAATTGAAAATACCAACTT